GTAAGTAAATATTTAAAATGACAAGAAACAAAGACAGACATCTATTCATATAAAATTGAGTATATGGGTCTAGGGGAGAACGGAGTTCAAAAGGAGAACCTATGATGACAAAGAAAGGGTGAATCCTCTGATGAACAACTACAGCAGACATCACAATAACCTGGAATTTTAAATGATTAACATAGCCAAAAATAAAAATACCATATGCCAAGTTTAAAACATGAGAACATTCTGGGCAAGTGATTTAATACATTGTCCAAATATTTATCTGGCGAGCCAATCTAGATTCTGGGTACAATCAGTAATGGATGCAATATAATCATGGTTCAATACCAGCTACCTGAGTGTCAGCCAAAAGAATTAATTTAGAGTTCAATTCTCAACATCTCTCACTCACACACCCTGCTGGCTCAGCGGCAAAACAAACTAACATTTAGTAAACAAAACACTTCTTAGACACATTGTAAAACTGACTGACTGACTAGCATCTGGTGTCTTTGATTGTTAGCTGATCAGGATAAATAAACACAGTTTAGATCTCAGGGGTTATTTCTGCTCTTAATATGTTCTGAAAAAGCAGCACTGACCTGTCCAGCCAGGGTAGCAGCGGCAGTAGCCACTCACAGGGTCACAGCCATCAGCATGGCTGCAGTCACAGCGCTCACGACACTCCAACCCATAGGTGCCGTCCTGACAATGATTAAAAACCTCACTGTAAACTACAAGTGGCATTGCGAGACACAACAAGTGGCACAGGCCTCCGAAGATGTTCAAGACTCACAGGATTTGCTACAACACCCTCTCAGCTGAAAGACTTACAGGGCAGGAATCATCGCAGTGCTCTCCCCTCCAGCCTGGTGAACAGGTGCAGGTACCATCCATAGGGTCACATGCAGCTCCGTTGCTACATAAGCATGTTTGATTACAGCCCAGACCCCATGTGCCACTGGAGCAGAGGATGGAGCAGTCCACACCCTGCCAGCCTGGGGCATCAGAGTAGAGATACGACAAACTGGAACCACTTATATCAACAACGTTTAATGGATGCAGATACTTTTTTTTTTTATTACATATTACAGTAAATCATTTTACTAACCAAATATATCAAAATAATAGTATAGTACTATGGTTCCAAAGCTGGGGTTTGAAACCTTACAATTCAGAAGGGTTGGGCCTATATTTTGATCCTGGATAAAATACTTTACTTAGTATTGCCCTCAGATGACCTTAATTTCCCTCTTCTGGTTTTTATTTTAAAGATTACAAACCATCCAGTCAGACTACCAGTTAAAGTACCTCTAAAGGGTCAGTACAACCAATAAAATGCAGGGTTCTCCTTACCATGATACTAAGAGGGGTTTTCTTTCTCAATTTTATATGGCAAATGACAAATGGACTGCACTTATATATCACTTTTCTACCTTACTTGAACAAAGCGCTCTACAAATTCACTCATCCACCCATTCACACACTGATGGCAGCAGAGCTGGACTTTATTACATTTCAGAAGCAAATGCTGCACTTTTTACTCCACTACATTAACTTTAGCTAATTTTATTATTTTATAAGCAGAGTTCATATTTTGAGAAAGTATGAGTGTTGGTGACAATTTGGATTTTAATCTAAAACCTTCAGGGTTTGCTTCCATGTCTGGGACCAACACCTCCACCATGAGTCAGTAATACTGTACCTTCCTTGCAGATGCAGGAGCCATCAATAGGAGAGCAGGAGGCGTGATTATGGCAGGAGCAGGTGAACATGCAGTTTGGCCCATACAGACCTGGAGGACACACTGCAGCACAGTCCTCACCCTGTGGTAGAAACAGTGCATATTCATGAGGCAAAGAATCAGCATGCCAATTAATGGTGACTCTGGCAGAACTAAAACAGAGACAGGTGTAATATGGTCTGTAGCGATGCAGACAAACACATAGGGAAGGTTCACCACACTTCTCTATAGCTAGTGGAACAGTTTTAGACCAGTCATATCTTGATACAGAATAAAAAACAATGCAACTGTAAAACTGAATGGATTTATGATAGTAACTGAAGTTCAAGAGAAAGGACCACACTTGCTCACCCCCAGCTATCTCCTCCTAGCTTCCAATTATACACTCTATATATTCTGACAGCATCTACTGCCAGCCACGCTTCGCTTTTTGCAGAGACTGGCAGCCACAGAACTCTGACTCATCCCCCATCCATCTCCAACCAAGCTATCAAATCTCCCCTTCTGTCTAAGAGCTTTAGGTCAATAATACAATAATTTTTGTTCTGAAAAAAATTCAAGTTGTGGTTGTAGCCTGGTGAAAGATGCAGGGATTTTATAGACATAATATGAAGGACTACCAAGAGTGATTCAATTCCAGCATGTAGTGATGTGATGTAGCACTCAACAGCCTCACTTACCACCTCAAAGACCAGAGTTCAAGCGTCCATTTTGCCCCCATTCCAAAGGAACTGACAGTGTTCTGAGGGTGGTTTCCTCTAATTAGCGACTCCTACTGGTTGATTAGGGGCCTACACAGAGGGTGTATATTATAAATCTGATAGTGAACGTCTTTGCAAAAGTGGCTGGAGACATCATGCTTATGGCTGTCTACATCCTCATCAGGCCAGCAGTGGCTATCAGTGGTAGCAATATATGGGTATTTGGCTACAGTAAAATGAGGTAAATGTAAATACCAAACAAATAAATTCTACAGTAAAGCCAATAGGCAGTGGAAAGGTGGATCTTTGAGACATCCCAATCGGACCGCAGCTGACTCCAATGCAAATGGGAGAAGGGCGGCCATGCTGGTGCAGCATTCAAGTCTCTTACTATTTCATTAGGGTGAACTATCTGGTAAATAGACATGCAGTACTCATTCCCTGTCTTCTGCAGCCTGCTGTCATTACAGTCTCTATGCTTTAATGGCTGAGCACAGCCCACCTCCACTAGTCTTCTCCTGATCACAGCCCACACCCTTCCACACCCTCGCTTCCTAACTCTACCTTGAGTGACAGGTGACACAATGATTTAGAGTTCCAATTAGTGGCCCAGAGGAGTCCTTAGTGGCTCTTGCTTCGCTCACCAGAGCGCTGGGAGACTGCTGGCTGCTCACTGTTCTCATTATCATTTTGAACTCAGTTTAAACAGGAGGCAGGAAGAGAAGTGCCAGTGGCCGCCAGGGGCAGAACACACATCTTAAAACATCCCTCCTCCCCATACACCACATAAAAGCGCCTGTCTGTGAATGAAATTTTTATCACTCTGTTGCAATAACCTTTGTTCTGCTGAAAATGACAGCTTCAAGACTGCTAACAATAGCACTTCAGTTACAGATGTTAAATGTGGAGAGAAGTTTGACCAGCCAGGGAGACTGGAGGGGTGAGGACGGCAGTGGGGGGAGGGGGGCTTCAGTCTGTCTTTAGAGTACAGGCAATTTACTGGTGACTGGGCTCATGGATAAGATGTCATGAAGTCACAAATGACCACACGGATTTTGCTGCATACATGGCAGTGTCGGTATCCACTTGAGTACGGTTTCACCCTCACGGCGCAGAGACCAGTGACTGTTCTGCTCTCAAAAGAGAGGAAAGGCAGCTCTCTCATTAGACGACTGATTCATATTCCTTCTGAGCTGTGAAGGATAGAAGTCCATATGTGGAGAATCATTATTAATACACGGGCTGTCAGTCCACTGGACGAGAGCGACAGGACCTTACATAACTATACAGTCAATGGAAGCAGCAACCAGACTTGAGCCGCTGAGAGGCGGCCAGGTCATCCTTGGCCAAGGCACTAAATTTATACCTATTAGTATCTTAAAGTAATTGGAAGGCATTTTCCCCCAGAAAGCCTCTTGCTGACACAACATTGATCAGCCTGGTACCCACTGAGACTAGATGCAAATGGCACCACTAATTTCCAATCAGTCTCACTCCTTAACAGTTCATCTAACTGGATGAGTGACTGCAGTTTAAAATTCATGCAACAAGACAGAAGATGAACCTCTGAAGCTTTTGATGAGGCTAGAAAGCCCAGAGAGATAGGGAAGTTATTTGTTTTCACCACATACAAAGACAGACTGGAATCTTTCTAATGCTTTCATATTTCAGACACAGCCATGACCACGGAATCTGTAGAAACTATAGACAGGGAGAAAATGTTACTGTGAGTACATGCTACAGATTGCAAGGGACAATGCCTGAGTAGGTAACATGTAATCACTTTGTCCCAGTCAAAAAGAGCATGTCCAATTACTAGTGCTAAATCAAGCATGCAGGAGCTCAGTCTGCTCCAACACTTTGCTTGGTTTGCCCCCCGATGGGACTCCAGAGCTAAGATGCAGCAGGGAGGCTTAGTCCTATCAGCTGTCCCCCGGGGAAGTGACTTCACCAGCAATCATAGCCTTAGTGCCGCCATCAAATACATTTTTAAAGCCCCACAACATGATAATGATCATGCGCCAAACGTGCAACAAAAACTACGTACTTACAGGTAAAAGCAATGATCATAGATCTACCTTTCTAATAAACAGTGTGTGTTGTTTGCACAGCAGCGGTTTTGGTGAAAGTCTCAAAAAACAGCTATGAGTACACCCCCCTTACACGCACACACACCAGTCGTCTATATGAGGTGTGTCTGTTCCCATCTGACTGCCTCCTTTTCTATCCAGCTCCTGCCCTCTAGGTCTGTTTAATGGATCTGGCAGCCCTTCCCAGAAGCCGCCAAAGAGAACAGGTGGAGCAAATTAAGACACAGTCTGCGGCCTTGCTCGGTAGCTCAATTCACCACAGTGGCACACTGTAAGACACAGGCAATTTCCACTGAAATGTAATGTTGGCAGAAATGTACCCTCTCGGTCTCTCTTGCTCTGTAGCTTCAGATTGCAAGACACGAAAAAGAATGGGGAAACTGATTGAAGTTACCCAACTAATTTGACAGTTGTAAAAGGGGACAATATGGCTGGACAAAAATGGAAACATATATAGGTCATAGTTTCAATTTTCTCCCAGTTGGTCTAGGGATGAATATAGATCAAAGACTGCTCTCTGCTTGTCTCAGACAGTACACGTTTCGGTATATTAAGTGTATTTGGGCAGCTGTGGCTCAGGAGGTAGAGCAGGTTGTTTCTTAACAGGAAGGTTGATGGTTTGATTCTCGGCTTCTCCAGTCTACAGGTTGAAGTGTCCTTGAGCAAGACACTGAACCCCGCAGTTGCTCCTGGGAGTGCGAATGGGTGAGTGGGCAAATAGTGTGAAAGCACTTTGAGTGTGATGCAGAGCATAGAAAAGACTTATACAAGTATAAGACCGTTCACCATTTGAAAAACATTGCACCAAAGAATGAATCAAAGAATGTCTTGTGGTGCACATCCATGATAAGACGACAGAAAAAAAATAATGTCTCACTTTGCTTCTGCCTGCCTGTGTACGAAAAGCTTTGAGAGTAAACCTGGGACCATTTTCTGGGACCATTTTCAGAACAATGATGACACAAAAATGTTACTGCAGCCTCAAATACACAATTATAAATCAAAACTACAACCTTTTTAAGTAAAGCCTATACAAAGGGATGAAGTGTGTCATAGCATGTGGCCCTACTGGAATTTCTGTATATCACTGTTATTATTAAACAGAGCTGCTAATTTTCATTAGTATAACAAGGTTTACAAGGAGCAAGGTAAAAGTGACAATTAACCTAGGATGAACTAAAATAAAGTGGCAACATGTTCACTGAGTTTAAACAGACACATTTGGTATTTTAGCCAGGTCTTGATCATTTTATTTTGAATAATTTTAGGCCTATCTCCAAGCTATCTTTTATTACAAAAATTTTAGAGAAAGTGGTTTTTATACAGTTGAAATCCTTTTTAGATGAGCATAATGTATTGGAGATTTTTCAATCTGGTTTTAAAGCTCGGCATAGTACAGAGTCCGCATTATTAAAGGTTGTTAACGACATCTACTTGGCAACAGATGCTGGTGGCTATGTGATTCTTGCCTTGTTGGATCTGACGGCTACTTTTGACACAGTTGACCACGACATCCTAATATCTCGACTTGAGGAGTTAGTGGGCATCCGTGGTACTGCCTTGAAGTGGTTCAGGTCTTATCTGTCGGATAGGACGATGTCTGTTCGTGTTGCTGATGCTGAGTCCTC